CACATCGGATCCATCGATGAACACAATTGGTTTGAACGGAATCTATGACAAGTTCGACGAAGACAACTACACACACTTTGAAGAGTTCATGGACGATATATTTGCAGTGGCTCGTGGATATTCTACTCATTTGCCAAGTAAGTGGCCTGAGCTGTGGCATTTTGATACATTTTGGTGGTTGATTTGATTAAAATGGACGAAAGTCGTATCCAATTTTGGTTTACTGGATTTTTTGTTTAACTTTGGACTAAGTCTTTGGCGTTTAATTTGGTTGAAGTTATGACTTTGAAGTTTTATGGTTTTTTGTTTGTTTACAATTTTATGGAAAATGCCTTAATGTATCAGGTTTCATGCATAAATTACTCAATTTCTTAGTGAAATTGACTCGAAATACTGATGTTGACTAATTGAATCTTTGACATTTATTCATGTGTTTCTGTAGCCGACATCAATGTGCAGCACGCAGTCAATTCACTCCTAGAACAGTGTCAACGCGATGTCAAAAGTATCAAAACATGCACCGATTGTTTTGCGTATTGGATGTATGATCATGACGATTATTTCACTCGTGTGTGTACCACTCCGCATTTGCTGGTCTATGCCAAAATGACCGGCTACCCAAATTGGCCGGCTAAGTTGATGTCAATCGATGGATGTAAAGCGAACGTTGAATTTTTTGGTGATCACACACAGAACGACGTATCACTTGCAAATTGTTTCCTGTATTCGGAACAGTTTCAAGGCAAATCTCCGAAGAATTTTCAACAATTCGAAGAGGACCTCGACAAAGCCACCAAGGTAATTTGGCTCATGGGTTTCAATGGAAATTTCAAAATATCCCTATGGTTTTTTTGGTGGAAAGTTTATATGATCGTTTAATTTGAAAATTCATTTTGTCCACAGGAACTCAGGCTTCACATCGAAAATGTCAAAAACAAGTTTGGCTCATTCCATCCGGCTAAAGGCAAAATGTCTTTGAAAGGTCGTGACTTGAAGCAGGAACAGATGAGCATGTTCCCGGGCGCTTTTATGGAGAAAGCAACACCACCAGTCTCTGAAGAGTCATCATCGGACGAAGCCGACGAGAATGACGAGGGCAATGGTAGCCATGACAAGTCTCAAGAAGAAGAAGAAGAAGGAGACGATAATTGTGCTGAATCGATGGCTCAAGCAGTTATTGACCATATCGTTGAATCAACGACTGATAATTATGAAGTGACTACAGTCGTGTCATCGCTTGAGCTCACATCAGAAGTGGCTCTGGCAGAGAGAAGATCAAACAAATCAGTTAGTTCCAAAGAACACTCAGCTGAGGTCGAAGAAAATGGCGACAATCATGACGAAAAAACTCAACAAGAAGACGAAAATCTCGATGAACCATTGGCTGTCAGCACTGAACTGCTAGACAACAAGACGTCAAATGAACTCAAGGTTGCGAACACTTTCACGAAAAGTGCACCGACAGCCACTGAGCGTGAGGAAGGTACGGCATCAGTTGTGGACAAGGACTTTCTCGACTTATCATTGGAAGAAGAAGAAGATATTGAGATGTTATCATCTGATGAAGAGGCACCATCGAAAAAGGACGATTCATCGAAAAAGGACGAAAGTCAAGCCAGTCGAAAACGTCAACGAAACGATGCTGAGCAGCCAGAAAAGGCCGTCAAATCGGTACCAACGAAAAGACTTCGGTTTAACGAAGTTGTTGCTACGGTGTCGGAAAATGGTGACAGAGCTCAAGAAAATATACCCAGTGCGTCAGTTTCGATGGAAAAACTAACTAGATTGAAATTGCTTAAGGCAACGATTCAGAAGTGTGAGCAAGAAATCAAAGAATTGGAACGCGATATTACAATCATCAAGAACAAACCGACATGTTCCACATGCAAAATCGCTTTGAACGGGCCATTCTTCTGCAGCGAACAATGTCAGAACAATCATGAATAGGATTTTGCTGGCAAAACTATTGACACATCAGCCTCTGAAAACAAAAACATTTCTTTTTTCAAAAAATTCTCTTTGGATAGAATGTTTTCCAATAATCATGAATTTTTTTTCCATCAACTAAAGACACTTTGTTTTGCTTCAAAGAGCATTTATTTGGATTTCATTTTTGAATGACATCATTCATAGTTTATTCTAGATAAATGTTGATTAGGTTAAGAGATTACTTTGTATTGTAAAAATTACAAATTCTATTTCGATTTAGAAGAAAATTGAATTTAGAAAATAAGTGAAAAGTATATTTAAATGAGGAAATAATTCAATAAATTCATTACAATGCGAATTTCTATTCTTTTAATGACCTTTTTTATACTTCTAGTTGTTGAGCTGGTGTATATTTCAAAGAAAATATTCTGTTTCTCAGATTGTTTTTATGAATGCTACCGCTTTTTTAATCTATTTGTGAATCGCTCGAAAGTGTTGATTGAGGTGCGATTTGCAGTAAAAACATTTTCTACACACTTCACATTGGAATGGTTTCACACCAGTGTGATGAACACGCATGTGAGATATTATATTCGTGTTAAAAAATGTCACGTAGCTCTTGCACAAATAACATTCGTAACGTCGATTTTGACACTTCGATTCATGTTGCTCCTTTTCCACCTCTTGAGAGAAGTTTCGGGCACAAACCAAACATTGAAATTTTACCGGACGAGGATTTGTGTGAACTTTTGAATGGCTCTTTAGACTGGTCTTTCGTGTGAATTTCTTGGAGCAAAGGCTGCATCGGAAAGGTCTTACGCCGGTGTGTACGCGCATATGTATCTTCAATTGACCCTTATTTCGTGTAGAGAACTTCTTGCATAAGTAACATTCGTAGCGTCGTCCATCGCAAGTGGCTTCATGCTCCGATCTTTCATCATTCCGTTTGAACCTCTTGAGACAAACTGAACAACTGAACGGATATTCATCGGGGTGTGTTTTCAAATGTCTTTGAAGATGGTGTTTTAGTGTGAACCGTTTTTCACAGATGTTGCATGGGAACGGTCTCTCGCCAGTATGCGTCAACATATGCATCTTCAAGTTGGCTGGCCATGGTGCAACATAATCACACGATGGGCATTTGTGCAGTTTGTTGGTCATTTTTGCCGCAGACTGCTTTCTATTTGCAGCACTGATCACCGCTTTGGCTCTGCCTTTCAATTCAATGCCCATTATCTTTGACATTCCAATCGATGACACTGGCGCCGCTGCATTACCTTTCTTCACTGTGTTTCCCTTCGATGTTTCGTTCCCATCTGAATGCTTGCTATCTTTTGGCTTCGATTTAACCTTGCTGTTGGATTCAGCTTCAATTTTGAGCTCCAGTTTCACATGCGTTGCATACAAATCCTCGATGCTTGGCTCGTTGTTTACTCTATCGACGCCAAGTTCAACTGCTGATTGACTGTAACTTAGTCTTGGCATCGATACCATAGGTACTTCGGCATGATCTTCTGCTTCCCTTTTGATCATGGGCTCCTGTTTTACCTCTACTGGTTCTTTTTTTATATCAAACGTCTCCCCATCATCACCGATTGCATTGGTCAGCACCACTCCTTTGGGCTGAGCCTCACCATCCCAGTCAATATTATCCATTGTGCCCAGAAATGCTATAAATCACAATGGAAAAATCCAAAATTAATGAATATGAAGTCAATTTTGACATTCAAAAAGAATTTTTCCATTGAAAATGGAGAAAAAAGCCACTAGAAAGCTTGATAGGTAAGATAAATAGAATTTAAGAAGAATTACTTTTTTTATTTCACACAAAGTTGTTTTTTGCACACATTTTAGGTTATGTGGAACCTGTTGCCTAGAATATTGGTTTTGATTTAGTCGAAATTATTGTTTTAATTTAAATGAATCGTGAAAATTGAAAAACCCAATGAAAATGGCCCAAAGAATAGCTCCAATCAAATAAACTCCACGATTGGGAACAAAAGAAAGAACGTTTTTTATGACCAAAAATGTTTTGCACAATATTCCGATGCTACTGATACTACACTTGGATACGTTTTCATACAATGAGGTTGAAGTCAACCAATAATGGCAAAATGATAAATAGTTTGACAGTTGATCCGAAGGTGGCGCTTCGACCTTATCTAATTGAAGGTGTTGAAAATCTGGCGGTTTCTTTGAAAAATGAAAATTTCAAGTAGAAAAAATTGTGTGAATAGGAAATTCAATGAACAAATTCTGATTAACTTTATTAGAAAATGTGGAAAAGTGACACTTGATTCTTGTTCTAACGAAAAACAAGTTTTCTTTCGGCATGATTCGGTTCATATATACTATTGATCAATAGCATTAAGTCAAAAGCTTGATATTTTCTATTTTTTGTTCTTTAACCAAATATTTTGTTCAATGGAAATTTTCAGCTTAATGGATATGTTTATTCAAGTGCGAAAATCTAATAAGAAAAAATTAGAAATTAATTATTCTTTGACAAAAAATTTCGTGATGAAGACTCAAGTCTTTTTATTCAAACCCTAACAAAATCAGTCTATCGTCGTTCGCATTGATACAAATTCTTGTCATTGGTTAATTTCCAGGTGTTTTCAATTTGCAACAGTAGCAATTGTTTGCTTTCCAATTTATTCGTGACCGAAAATCGAAAATCACGCAGCATTTTGGCCTTTCGCATGAAATTGACAGCGGCCACAAGTGAAATGGTGCATCGTTGAAGTGTGAAGTCGGTCAAATACGTTAATTTTTCCGCCAGAATTGCCATGCCGTTATCGTAGAGTTCGATTTGATTCCAGCTTGGAGCGACGATGGTCAATTTGATTAATTTTTCGTTCCGACTGATGAATTCACTGAATCTCTCGTGAAGTCCGTCGTTAACCGTCACTTCTAGCTCCGTCAAGTGATCAAACCAAATCGGTAGATTGATGAATGGACCTCCATCCAAAGTGATCATTAGTTTTTCGACGTTGCCAAAGTGTGTTTGTTTGCCATCGTTGAAATTGTATGACAAAATGTGCAAATGAAGGCATTGAAGCAATGGTGTCACTTGGCTGATCGAATGAAGAAGTGTTGAATCGACGTGTGCCACCAAATGAAGGCTGCTCAATTGTTGGTTGAAACAAAGCGCCGCCAAAATGGTTTCTTTGGACAATCCGCCTTTGGTTAGCTGCACCGACAAGTGTTGTAAATTGACGAAGCTTTGTTCGATGCAACCCGTATATGCCATGGTACATCCCAATACTTCCAAGCGATTTACCACTGGAAATAGTCGTTTCAAGTCATCAGCAGTGCACTCGAGATGACAATTTTTGAAGCAAACCCTTTGAACGTCCGGAAATGGATGCGTCAATTCATCGAACGATGCCTGGCGACAGTTGTGCAATTCGAGTTCAATCAACGATTTTGCGCAGAAATCATTGACTTCGTTTTGTATGTACTGGTTGAATTTGTCAACGGATTTCAAGCCCTCGAAATCAATTACGATTTTTGTGATGAAACAACCAAAATTTTGCAGCATTTTGAAGCATAAGTCACGTTCGTAAATCTCCATACAACCTGGCTTTGCTTTGTGTGTGAAGAGGAAGCTACCTTCAACACAACGACGACCGTAGATTTTGATACTTTGGTGAGACAGACGGCAAAATTCCAAACCAAATTCGTCGATGAGATCTTTGTTACTGCTGACTCGATCCACCAATTCGGCAAAGCTCAAACGCTGTACGTCCACTTTTTCACATTTGGCAGACGGAACAGATGGGACAGACGGATCAGTTGCAACATCTGGAACAGCTTCATCCGGATCAACCACTTTGGATACTGTTGTCGATTCAATAATGTTTCCCATTTTGAGTTGGTTTAGACAACTGATTTGGAATACGAATCAGGAATAGATTAGAAAATTTGGTCAGTTCTTATGAAATAGAACAAATTCGGCTGTATTCAGTCGATAACTGTTGATTATTTCATGAAAATTTTATATTCAATGACAAAAGTTAAAGGTTTTGGTGCACCAAATTCCTTCGATTGAACTTAATTCTAGTTGGTACTTACTGTTGTTTCGAATTGATAAGAAGACTTCAGATCGATGCATTCGATCACAGAGAAATTTACTAATTTTCCAATGAAACTAGCCTGATTCGGATGATGATTCTAACTATTCGAATTTTATCTTCTGCTTTTCGATACTTTTACGTTAATTTTCGTAAATTTTCAATGGTATTCAATGAAGAAAATCGATATTTTTGTTGTGAAACGCAATAGAATGTTTTCAGTGTAGAACACAACAACGCAATAACACAATATTAAGCATCATCGTGTGACGTTTTGTCCGTACAACACACAAACAGAGCGCGTTCAATGCCAAAACTATTCATTCGTCGACCAACATTTTTTAACTGGTCCTTTAATCGTTTCTCGCTGTTTTTGCCATTGAATATTTTTCAAAAAAAATCCAAGTTTACTCTCGATTATAATCGAAATAAACATAAATATGTTTTTCATTCCATCTAAATTCGGTTAAAATTGAAAACATGATTATTATTTTAATTTTTACTTTCAAAATTTTGAAATAAAAAGAAAAATTATTTGAAATATTCAATGAAAGTATTTTATTTGAAATTGCATCACAGAGTCTGTTTGAAATTAAAAACTTTTTTTGCCTCAAAAAATATTGGATTCTTTATAAAAAAAAATGAAAAAGTGGATATTTTTAAAAGAATTTTTGTCCATAATGAAAAGAATTTTATCAGCAACAATGACTTTTCAACAGTTTTCTAAGGAAAAAAAATCAAAATGTTGTTTTTCAAAGAAGTTTCAGTTATTTTCAATCAAACTTTCTAAATTTCATGCAAAAAAGTTTTAAACAAATGAGTATTTCTAAAATGGTAAAAGAAGATCGCTTCTTTCCATCATCATCACACTCCATTCTGTGGATTCATGAGGCGATTGACGGTGTCACCAAATTCCTGGGTGTCATCGTAGTCGGAAAAAATGAGATTTTGTTTGAAACAGATCAAGCCATTGCCAAAGATTACTTTTGTCTTCAAATAATCCTGGTACAGTCTGAAATAATTCGCATTTGATTCGTGTTCATTTTCGTGTCCTCCATTGCCGTAGTCATTCGTTGCCTGAAAGATGACTTGATCAATTTCGACATGTCGGTAGTAATGTTCGGGTTCTATTTCGCCATTGCATCGGCCACACTTGATGTATGAAATTTGATGTGGTGCTTTGTCACGCCATTCATAGAACAATCTTGTTTTGCCCAAATGCTCATAGAAATGATGTTGTTGGCATTCATGTTCGGTGTCAAGGGTTTCGCCACAATAGCCGCATCGTCGTTTTTCATGAATGTCAATTGCCAATAAATCATGGAGATTTTCTCGCGTGAAACAAACCGGATTGAAGATACGAGCTTTCAAAACTTGTTCATGTGTTTGCTTAACGTGATCCGCTAGATCTGGACCGATGTAATAGCACAATGCACAATGATCTCGATTCATTTTCCGGGCAACAACGAATGGATCATCCGGATGATTATTAGCATGATGCTTCCGCAATTGGTCATACAGCCCAGAGTAGTGGCAGTAGTAGCATCCAACCAATTCGACCACGTAGAAAAGAAAGGGTAGGGCCTTCGGTAGTTCCGTGTGATTGGAAAGCCAATGGCCGTATACATTGTCAATGGTTTCGAATGAAAAGACAAGTGACCAATCGTCGGAATCATGGCAATGAGCACAAAAATATCGACTGGTATGTGGACCGAGAGCTTGTGTGTTCATCGTTTGATGGATCTGTTTGGAAAGAAGATCGAATTTCTTCGATATTAAAATATTTTCATAACCCTTTCTCTTATCTCTTGTCATCGGATTTTCCTTTAATGAATAAAGTTCTTTACTATCTCCACGAAAAGTATTTTGAATATTGAATATTTAGTCTTTTTCTTAATTTTACACAATGAAATTTGAATCTGCTTACGAAGTTTACAGTGCCAGCGATGGGATTAATTGTGGAAAATTGAACTTTTTGTCTAAAACTCAATTTATTTTGAACTTTTCCGAATTATTTGGTTAATATACGTTTTATGTTTGACATTTGTGCATCGACTGATTTTTGACGACGTTTATGTGACACCACGTGAGCGCCACTCACGCGAACCCAATACACATTCCATTCCCACACTGACAAGCAATCCTCTGCATAATTGTAATACCATAATTTCATCAAAAACGCGATTTTCAGCGTCTCGTGTTAAAAATCGCGTTAAATATCAATCATCTTAATCAAATCCAATTCAAATACGATTTAATTTTAATGTTGGAGTCAGAATAAGTTGAATTAAGCATTTATTTTTCAACTCTTCGTTTTTTTTCTGGGATTAAAGTGAACAAATAACTGCATTGTGTTGATGTAGCTCGCGACCAGCATTTTGATTGAATGACACACGGATGAGTCTCAACCATTATCACATTTTATTTACATTCTCTCAAAAATTAGTTCAAAAATTAATAGATTTGTTTCTACAGCATTGGATTTTGGAATAATGAACAACCAGCACGAAAGTGGACACGATCCACTCAAAACGAAGCCAATGGATAATCGCACTGTGGTCATGGAAAGGATGTCCGATGTAATCGAGATAAAACAGGAGCCCACGATCAAAGAGGAACCAGAAGATCCTGCCGAAGTACCGATGGTATCCATGCCAAGACCAAGTTACAGTCAATCACTAGGGGAATTTAACTCTTACGAGTTCAGCATGTTTTCTGCCAGTTTGCTTGATTCGCGGAAGTTCGACGCGTTCGTTGTACGTACTGACGCGCACGGTCACAAGTTTACACAAGTTTGTTTATGGTTTTGCGCGTTTTTCAAGTTGTTATTTGACAACTAAAACGCGTTACAAACTAAAAATCGGTTGTTTACGTGTATAAAGATTTTTCACATCCTTTCCAAAAGTTCAAAGATTTATATAATTATAAAATGGACAAAGGAAATATTTTTAAAGAGCTGGAGAAAGTGTTGGAAGAAAAAGTTAATCCAGATAGATATAACAAATGGAACGACTGATGTGTGCGCGTCGTCCAGCTTCATGTTTGCACACGAACTCGCACAAGTTCGCGCATGTTGTTTTAATACGGAACTTGTCAACTGAGTGGAATCATGCAAGTTCTCTGGTGAATGAAACAATTTCGTGCGCGTTTATATCATTTTTTTACAAGTTTTCACGTAGTTAAATCCCCCTAGGTCAATCAGCAGTTGAAATCCGCGTCGATAGAGCAAACAACGAGCAGAGCATTGAAGATTTGTATTCAACGCATTTGAAACTGGAGCTCAAAGCAGAAGCAGAAGCCGATAGCAAAGTTGAATCGACGCAAAAAGAAAGCAAGCAAACTGGTGGCGATGAAACATCGAAGGGAAACACTGTGAAGAAGCACCGGGCGAAGAAAGGTAATGCGGCGACGCCAAGTCCATCGATTGGGGATTCGAAGAAAGGGAAAATTGGATTGAAAGGCAGAGCTAAAGCGGTGATCAATGCTGCCCATAGAAAACAATCGGCTGCGAAAAAGACAAACAAACAGCACAAGTGCCCGACGTGTTATTATGTTGCATCACGGCCATCCAAATTGAAGACGCATATGTTGACGCACACTGGCGAGAAGCCGTTCCCATGCAAAATCTGTGACAAACGATTTACACACTTTTCGAGCCTTCAAAGACATTTGAAAACACACACCGTTGAATATCCGTCCAGCTGTTCAGTTTGTCTCAGGAGATTCGCACAGAATGTTGAAAGATTGGAGCACGAAGCCACTTGCGATGGGCGACGCTACGAATGCCACTTGTGCAAGAAGTTCTCAACTCCAAATACCGGTCCATTGAAGATCCACATGCGTGTGCACACCGGCATAAGACCGTTCCGATGCAGCATTTGCTCCAATAGATTCACACAAAAGACCAGTCTAAAGAGGCATTCAAAATTCCACATAAATCCTCGTCCGGTGAAATTCCAATGTTTGGTTTGCGCCCGTTACTTCTCTCAAGAGATGGAAAAGCAGCAACATGAATCGAAGTGCCAAAGTCGACGTTACGAATGTTACTTGTGCAAAAGCTACGCGACATACTATAAATCGAGTATGATGTTCCACATGCGTGTTCATCACACCGGTGTCAAACCATTCAAATGTGAAGTGTGCAAAAAATGTTTTGCACAGAAAGTGGAATTTACGCGCCACAACCATTAACTCGATTCAATCCAAAGTAAATTTGTTCAAATTTACCCATAGATCAATAGTTTGTAATGACATAGCCCAATATATTGTTGTGCTTTTAATCAACGATTTGGCCTCAATTTTCAATAAACATAAAAATGCCCAGAAATGAATTGCGACGATATTGAAATAAAGGAAAAAATAATGAGTTCTAACCGTTATAAATGAATATTTGTTTTTTTTTATAATAAATGAAATTAGCAGAAGTTAATGTGATGCTTTAAAAAGGAGGAAGCACTTTCATCTACATGAATAAAAGAAAAACAGGATGTTAATTTCGGTGATAAAAAATACCAACATTTCCATTCATTTTCAACGATCATTTCTTTTTGTGAACAATCAATCCTCTTTTTATATTGCCGCCGAATCAATCTAAACAATGATTCCGCTTTAAGTGTGAACCACCATTCACTTTGCTCAATGACAGTCAATTTCTTTGCCGCTCTAATTCATTGTTAATGTGTTGAAGTGTCAATAACCAAGTTCTCCGTCATAAATGCACATTTTAGAAACACGTCTTTTTTCGCCACTTTAATCAAATATAATCATCACATTCTATTGAATTGATTCCAACAATTGTGAAAAAATTAATCATTGACAGCAGATTAAAAAGTAAAAAATCAAAATTTGTCTTCGATTTTTGTTGGTATTTTTAGTATTTTGTGTAACTTTTGGCTTGTACTACCAAATAGGGTTAGGTTGTTTGGGTGGCTGGCTGGCTTTCTTTTGAAAAGCACATTACGATTTGGTGGACGAGGTAAATATCTTTCATGAACTGTTTCTCCCTTCATTGAATTGACTTATCATTCTGTGATCGCTTTCGATGACCACTATTTACGTGATTTTCCTTTGTCAATTTGACTCATTTACGATTACCTACATTCTTTCGGTGATAGAGTGGATATTCGACAGACATGATGAATGACAGGTATCCAGACAAAATCACTCATCAGTCAAGCGGTACAGAGGGAGTTGATGTTGACGTAAAGCCTTTATTTCAAAACGAAGAGAAGGTAAACGTGGATGATGGTCCAATTAAAGTAAAACCAGAGCCTGATGTCAAAGAAGAACCCGAGGCAGCAGATTACGTTTGCTTCGTGACAATTCCTAACCAACATCGAATGCCACATGTTAAGTTGGAACCAGTTGATGACACAAGCAATGGCATTCGATGTGATGGATTGCTTGGTATGGATGATTTCGAATGGACTCATATCGAACCAGAGCCTAAAGCTGAAGAGGTGGAAAAATGTGATTGCAAGCCAGAAGAAAGCAAAAAATCACAGTCAATCGGTAATGGTGCAAGCAAGAAGAGCAATGGCGTGAAACGGGCAACGAAGAAAAAATGCGATGGTCACAAAACATTAGCTGCGAAATTGAAGTCAATCGAAGCGAAAGGCAGAGCCAGATCGGTCATCATTGCATCTCACAAGAAGCGATCAGCTGTAAAAAGGATCAAGAAACAGCACAAATGCCCATCATGTGATTTTGTTACACCATGGCCAACTGTTTTGAAGAGGCATATGTTGACGCACACTGGCGAGAAACCGTTTCCGTGCAACATCTGTAACAAACGATTCACACAAACATCGAACCTTCAAAGACATTTGAAAACACACACCGATGAATATTCATTCAGCTGTTCAGTTTGCCTCAGGAGATTCGCACAGAATGTTGAAAGATTGGAGCACGAAGCCACTTGCGATGGACGACACTACGAATGCCACTTGTGCAAGAAGCTCTCTACTCAACACAAGGTTTATTTGAAAAGACATATGCGTGTGCACACCGGCGTAAGACCTTTCCGATGCAGCCTTTGCTCCAAGAAATTCACACGAAACACCGGTCTAAAGAACCATTCAAAAGTTCACACAAATCCTCGTCCGGTGAAATTCCAATGTTTGGTTTGTGCCCGTTACTTCTCTCAAGAGGTGGAAAAGCAGCAGCACGAATTGAATTGCCAAAGTCGACGTTACGATTGTTACTTGTGCAAAAGCTATGTGACATTCCAAAAGCAAAGTATGATGTTCCACATGCGTGTTCATCACACCGGTGTCAAACCATTCCGATGTGTATTGTGTAAAAGAGAATTCTTTGGGAGTTCTAAACTTAAGCGCCATATGAACCGAATCCATAAATAGAAAGAAAAAAAAACTTCCAATTAGAACGAATAAGCGAATCAGTTCCTATTTTCTCTGGCCAAGTCACCAATGGATTCAAACTGTACAAGATCATTCATTATTGAAATAAAGTTCAAACACGAAAAAACGCTTTCTGTTTCTTTTGCATATAAATACTGCCATCTGGAAAGTCTACTCATTTGTTCCCTTGAAAATATTATTGGAAAAATTGTAGAAAAAGTCATGAAAGTATTCTATGTGGTGCACTGTGGTAATATAAGGCCAATAGAATTTGAATAAATAAGAAACATCCTCTGAATTAAAGTTTCGACAAATGTATCATGGCTACGGTCAAGAAGAGTCGCTTATGTTAGTCAATAGTGGAAAATTGAAACATTTCACAACTTTATTAGGAATATTTTTATTAAGTCATTGGATCATGTGAATAAGAGTAGTAACAATTTCCTATTTGAAATAGGTCAATTTGTAAAAAAAAGGTAAGATAACACATAATATCAGATTGAACAACGCTTCCTTCTTGAATTATGCTATTCAAACACGTTTAATTCTGCTGAATTTCTCAATTTTTGATGAGAATTTTTGAGAAATTCTCTAAAAAATATCGAAGTAGTTTCAAAGTAAAAAAATTCTATTCAAATAGCCATCGCTTTAATGTTATCACCAGGAGAAACTGATTGATTTTGAAAATAATATTTTTTGGTCAAAATCTATATTCAATAGAAGTCGTTGTCTGGAATTGATGTGAAGAATTTAAAATTCTTTTGCTGTCCTCACCGCTGTGGTCTTTCTAATCGTCATCATTGCTGTTGTTGTCGCGACATTCATCTTCAGCTGGGTCATAGTTCATTTTGCATCGTTGATTGCAAAAGTATGGTGAACCGGCGGGTTCTCCGCAAAAGGCACACACCGTTATGAATAGACGTTGTTGTTCCAATTTCCGAACTTTTCGTTTGTATATTTCGATTGAGGCATCAGCTGCAGACTTTTGTACTTTGAGCTCTTGTTGCAATCGATTCTTTTCATCTTCCAGTTCGATAATTCGACGAGACAAGGCTTCGAAATGCATTTGTACGTCATCGCCAACGACACTTCTGGTGATTTTATTTGCCGGTGGTGCATGTTCTGGGCTTTCCATCGACTGAGTATCCTGATCATGACGCTTCTGACTCGATTGACCTTGGTTGCTCTGGCTCGAAGTAACGTTTGCCGTAGCCATCAATGGCATTATGCCAGCGTTTGATATTTCACGTACGTTTTGAGCTGCTTCATTTGGTTTGCTGGCTCCTTGTTGAACTTCCGTCGAAACAGTGCGCTGCTTATGACTTTCAGCTGACATCGAACTGGTCGAACATCTTCCAAACGCCCCGGGAATCATGGCGATCAGCTGTCGTTCCATGACTTGCGGATCGAGCAGAAGCTTGGAGTCAACGGGACAGAACGAACCAAACCTTTTTTCGATTTCCTTAATGTGGACATTCAGCTCCTGTTTGAGTGATAAACGATCGAACGATCGAAAGAAATGATTCGATGAAAGTGGACAAATATGAACAATTTTAGTGTGAATCAGTTTGAGTGGGAAAAATTCGAAAATTCGATTGAGCTGATTCAATCGGAGTTGATTTGAAAAAAAATCCAAAATAAGTATCTCTTGGAAAATAAATCGTTCTCACCTGCAGAGCGCTGGTAAATTCACTGGGCCTTGCATTTTGAATGGGATTCCTTTTAGCGTACAAAATGCATTTGTTCACTGGAACATCGGCTTGTGTGTGATCGCCAAAGAATGCCACATTGGCCATATTACCTTTGATCGACATAACCTTCGACGGCCAGTATGGGAACCCTTCCACCTTGGCATAAACGATGAGATGTGGTCGGCTGCAAACCATCATGAAGTAATTGCTCGGATCATTCAGCCAATGTTCAAAGCACTCTGCGCACGTTTTAATGCTATTGACATTGCGATGACACAATTCGGTTAGAGTGTCGACGACATTCTTGACGCCAGGCTCCACTGCAAATAGATTGGATTTGTGAATTTGATTATTAGAGAGATATGTTGGACGAAGATTGATTGGTGCTTGAAGATATCACAGCAGGGGGCTTTAGTTGTCATTATATTTGTTAGACTGCATCAAATTGTGTTAAATTTGATTAAACTTAAAATTTTGAACTGAAAATTTCCTTAGTTTTCGCTAATGTTCGCCCATTTTGGACAATACCTAATCAAATTCGTCGTAAAAATAGTTACAACATTCTCTTTGCTTCAGAATTGACTTGTGAATAGATTAACAATGGACTTCTAGGATGTATTTGAGCGTACAATGAGCATGATGAAGACATTTCAAGAACAAACTAACCAAACATAGATCTATCAAGCTTTTTTTTGAAGAGCAAGATGAATCACAACAAACACTCACTGGCAAAATGAATCGAGTAGCTTTGTGCTAGCAATTTGATGTCCACCAAAAATTCGCTGCAGCTTGAGTAGCTGTCAAATTTGCTCGCAATCCCAGCCAAGCCGACTGTGTTCATCATTTGGTTGGACGACTTGACCGACTCTTTGAGAATGTTGAACTGAAATTGCATCAACATTTTTTTTTTAGCAACATTCATGAGAAATTCAGTTTTATTCAGCTAAAATAAAGTCAACTTACTTCTTTCATTTTCATGATATGATTCAAACTATGCTTCAATAGTCGCAATTCATTCTGACGCGATGCTAGAACACGCGATTGACTTTGATTTTGTGTGACATGGACACTTTTGAATGCCATATTTTCATTGGTATTGTTCATTTTTGAAGCTTTTTCCGAAATAAATCGATTTTATTTTGGATTTTCTCACTTTTCTTTCTAAAGAATTGAATTGTGTACGGAATTTGCTCCAGATACGCGCAATGTTGCATCTAACAAATGTACACTACACTGAGAAGTGACAATGATGAATGACAGCTTGGCTGTGTGTGAATCCGTAGGATGATTTGAGTGCGTTCAATGGCTACATGTTCATGGTCTTGGAAAACTCCGATTTAGTGAATATTTTTGTATCGCAAATATCGTTTATACAAAATGCTGAATTTTTTCTTCGATTTTTCGATGTGATTTCTCTGTTGTGCTTCAAAATCCATTTAAATAGGATTCGATGAACTGATTGAAGAAAAAAAGGTTTATTGTGCATCTTGTTATAAACCATCATGAGGGCGCCACTCTGATTGTCATTCATTGTGGATTGATTCGATTGAGTTGAATCGCTGTCAAACGCTTTACACGGAGATAGCAAGATAGTGCATTATCAAAAAGTTCACGTATTTTCGGTGTTTAACACTCAAACAGAAAATTTTTCCGAATTAAAATCATTTTTTTTTTGCAATTTCGAATTGCTAGCTCGTCGCATTGAGTCGTAAAAATAGGGAATTTTTGAATTATTTTGGAATATTTGACCATTTCATCTGCATTGAAGTGATTACCACTTAACCTCACTATTTTGATACGACCTCAAAGTTATATTTCGAGCGAGAGAAGGTAACAATTTTGTATGGATTTTTCATAATAATTTCTTTTACTTCAAATATAAAATCATTTGCTTGGAATACAAACGATGATTTATTGAATGTTGTTTTCTTTTTGATAGAATTCATCGATTTCTGACAAAATGAATGGCCCACAGCAAAATCTGAAAGCTCGGTTCAAAGACACGCCAATTGCCATTGGAAGCGAGGTTCCACAGAAAATCTTCAGTGACGTGGAGATAAAACAGGAGCTCGCGATCAAAGAGGAACCAGAAGGTCATACCGAAGTACCGATGGTATCCATGCCAAGACCAAGTTGCAGTAGCTCAGCAGTTGAACCCAGCGTCGATAGAGCAAACAACGAGCCAAGCATCAAAGATTTGTATTCAACACATGCGAAATTGGAGCTCAAAGCAGAAGCTGAAGCCGATACCAAAGTTGAATCGACGTCAAATGAAAGCAAGCAATCAGTTGGAAATGACGCATTGAAGGGAAACACTACGAAGAAGCACCGGGCGAAGAAAGGTAGTGCGGCGAAGCCAAGGTCATCGAATAGACTGTCGAAGAAAAGGGAAATTGGATTGAAAGGCAGAGCCAAAGCGGTGATCAATGCTGCGCATAGAAAACAGTCTACGGCGAAAAAGACCAAGAAACAGCACAAATGTCCATCGTGTGATTATGTTGCATCACAGACAAGCACTTTGAAGAGGCATATGTTGACGCACACTGGCAGGAAACCGTTCCCGTGCAACATCTGTGACAAACGATTCGCACTAAAACAAAATCTTCAATCACATTTGAAAACACACCCCGATGAATATCCGTTCAGCTGTTCAGTTTGTCTCAAGCGGTTCGCTCAGAATGATGAAATATTGGAGCATGAAGCCAATTGCTATGGACGACACTACGAATGCCACTTGTGCAAGAAGTTCTCTACTCTAATTAAGGGTCAATTGAAGGTCCACATGCGTGTGCACACCGGCGTAAGACCTTTCCGATGCAGCCTTTGCTCCAAGAAATTCACACGAAAGGCACATTTGAAAGGTCATTCAAAACTTTACACAAATCCTCGTCCGGTGAAATTCCAATGTTTGGTTTGTGCCCGTTACTTCTCTCAAGAGATGGAAAAGCAGCAACATGAATCGAAGTGCCAAAGTCGACGTTACGAATGTTACTTGTGCAAAAGCTACACGACATCCTATAAATCGTGTATGATGTTACACATGCGTGTTCATCACAACGGTGTAAAACCATTCCAATGTGAAGTGTGCAAAAAATTCTTCGCACAGAAAGTAGAACTTACGCGTCATCTAAAACACAACCATAAATAATGTTGTGATTGATCTGCACAGTTTCTTGAGGAATTCGATAATTTACCCAAAATTGTACAATGATTCATCTAATTCTCGTAAAGAAATTAAAATTGACTTAATCAATTCTCAGTAGAATGGTTAAAATTTGGCCTAAGATCATTTTATAAAATATCAATGATTTCCTTTACTTTTCAATAAAATAATTTGACTTCAACGATTATTTTTAATTGCATTCTGTAAAATAGATGAAAATTGTTGGCTATCAACAAAGTTCGAAACGACAAACCTCACAATGAACTGTGGATTTGCAAATGGAAGGAAGATCTGTCTGTGTTTTAATAAATGTTCAGTCTATTTCATTGTTCTGGCCAATCTTCCATCTGATGCTGCTATCAGTAACCAAGGCAAACTGAATTTTGAATTGAAAAGGAGTCAATTGCTTACATTTAGTATTCTTGTTCAAATATCTCAATGCTATTTCATCGCAGTAAATTAACGCTTGACGTGGATTTGATGGTTGAAAAATAAGGGGAGAGCTTTAGCTTCGTCACAGAGATTTCGTTCTATTTTCACTTGATATCCGGAAAGACTTTCAAACTTCTTGGATGAAAGATGTGAAATCATTGATTTTGGTAATAAAAACTCGACAAATTCATTTTGAAAGAACATTTCTGTGTCACTTGTTCTTGTGACAAAAAAAAAGCTCTTTCGATATTGCCGCCGTATCAATCCAAACAGTTATGCCACTCTCAGTGTGAACAAGCACTTACTTTGTCCAATGACAGCTAATTTACCGCCTTAATTCATCGATGCTGTCATTCAAGTTGGAGTATCAAGTAGAATCAGCTACGTGTGCATATTTTTGGCTAAAGTGAGCCTCATTCACTGCTCTAGTAATTGAATCAATCACATTAAATCAAAATTATCGCAATAATATCACTTTATTCCAACCACTGTGCAGAACTGAACCATTGTCATTAGAAAAAAGCCTCAAAGTTCGAAGTTGATCTTGTATTTTATTCATTTTCTGGCATTTTGCTATCGCACTACCGAATTAGGTTAGGTTTGACTGGCTTTGACTTGAAAAACAACTTCTGATTTGATATTCAAGGTAAATAGCTCTCATATTTATTTTACTTTTTATTGAATTGACTTTCGATTTCGTGATTCCACTATTTTTGTGAAAATGTCATTGATTTGTTCCGTTTGTCGATTTGTCTAGTTGTTGTTTCATGATTGCTTTCATTCCTTTTGTAATAGAGTCAACGTTTGACATATACGATGAATGACACGCATTCAGACGAAATTAGGTGCCACACAATCGATTCGGCGAACGCTGCCGATGGCGGTAGTCAATCAACACGGTCCGAAATGAATATCGATGTGGATTGCGATTCAGTTGCAATCAAATTGGAGCCCGATGTCAAAGAAGAACCAGAGGCAGTTTGCTTGGTGTCTGGTCCGAATCAACATCGAATGCCACATGTCAAGTTGGAACCAGTCGATGACACAAGCATGGATGATTTTGATTCGACTCATGTCAAACCAGAGCCCAAAGCTGATAAGGTGGAAAACGCCGATTGCAAGCCAGAAGAAAGCAAACAATCACAGCAAAGCGGTGATGGCTCAGGCAAGAGAAACATTGACGTCAAACAGGCTAAAAAGCAGAATCGCGATGGTCACAAAACATTAGCTGCGAAATTGAAGTCAATCGAAGCGAAAGGCAGAGCCAGATCGGTCATCATTGCATCTCACAAGAAGCGATCAGCTGTAAAAAGGATCAAGAAACAGCACAAATGCCCATCATGTGATTTTGTTACACCATGGTCAACTGTTTTGAAGAGGCATATATTGACGCACACTGGCGAGAAACCGTTCCCGTGCAACATCTGTAACAAACGATTCACAACAAAATCGAATATTCAATCACATTTGGAAACACACACCGATGTATTTCCGTTCAGCTGTTCAGTTTGCCTAAAGCGATTTGCTCAGAATGATGAAAAATTACCGCATGAAGCCACTTGCGATGGACGACGCTACGAATGCTACTTGTGCAAGAAGTTTTCTACTTCAAATAAGGCCGACTTGAAGATGCATATGCGTGTGCACACCGGCGTAAGACCTTTCCGATGCAACATTTGCTTCAATAGATTCACCACAAAGGCTCATCTAAAGAGGCATTCAAAAGTTCACACAAATCCTCGTCCGGTGAAATTTCAATGCGTGGTTTGTGCCCGGAACTTCTCTCAAGAGATGGAAAAGCAGGAGCACGAATTAAAGTGCCAAAGTCGACGATATGAATGTTACTTGTGCAAGCGCTATGTGGCATATCAAAAAACGAATATGATTTTCCACATGCGTGGTCATCACACCGGTGTCAAACCATTCCAATGCAAACAATGCTCAAGTTGTTTTAAGCAAGTTTCAGACTTTAATAACCATAATAAACGTCACCACAAGTAATAACCAGGATGAAAACCGAACCTTTTATCAAACTAAATGTTTCTTTTCGAAAAGTTCGCGCATTTTTTTGAGTAAAAAAGAGACACCAGATGCTTTGGATCGACTGGGAAATCTTTCAATGTTAAATCTATGAAAATAAATAAATAAGGAAGTTTGAAGTCAAAATTTTATTGGTTTTTATTGAAAATTGTAAAATTGATCAATCATTCATTTGATTGTTGGCATAGGTCTATTATTATCTTTTTGTAAAAAAAATCTGAAGTTGATCTAGAATTCGATGAATTGTCTTGAGACAGTCTTCAATGAATCAAATTGAATCTAAATTCTTTGAATCTTTACAAAGATGTTGCCTCGATTGGCTTTATTCCATGTGTCTCTAGACACAATTTCGACTCGTTCTATTGTGGCTAATGTTAAAATAGATAAAATTCGGTTCTATTACAATCAATCTTGAATTTATAGACGTAAAAACGTTCAATTGAATTAGTCACGTGAACAATGGTAACTTTTCTAATATTCAAAAGTCGATCATACTTGTTCGATAAAGTACGGCACCGGTTTTCTCTAATCTGAGTCTGACATCGCGACGAAATCTTGTTTGTAGTCCTTCTCGCACTCTGGGCTGCAGAAGAACAAAGTTTTTGGAACAGTTCCACAGTTGACACATTCTGGTCCATTTCCCATTTCGACAACTTGCTCTTTGAGATGCAAAATTTGCTTCGCTTGTTCCTTCATTTCTTGCGCCTGCTCGCGGATTTGTGCCTTAGCCTGGACCAGTTGTTCGTTCACCTCCGGTTGTTTCTTCATTTCTTGCGCCTGCTCGCGGATTTGTGCCTTAGCCTGGGCCAGCTGTTCGTTCACCACTTTCAGTTCGATTTCCAATCGGCGTATTTTCTCACCTTTGGGTAGTGCCCGTCGCAAAAGCGGAGAGAATGCAGGACTTGCGGCCTCTTCTTCTTCTTCCTCATTTCGATCACCTTCAGAGGAAATCACTTCAATGCTCATTTTGCGCGGTATGGCTTCAACTGAACCCTCAGCACTGCTTCCGCGGCGCTTTCGACTCGATTCAACTGGAGAGGTTGGCGTTTCAAGTGATGGCATATCCAATGTACTAGCATGATCATCAGTCAATGTGACGTTGTTTTCCTGCGATTCAGTCGATGACAAGCGTTCTGAACGATCATTGGCTGTTGATGCGTAGACATCTGGGAACATGGTTTGCAAGTGAACATTTAGATTCCCAGCATAAAAGTTGGTGCGAGTCTTTTGTGCTGGAACAAATGAACCGAACTTTTCTTTAACGTTTCTGATATGCTCTTCAGCTTCCTGAAAGTTGAACGAAAATTTTCGATAAAATTGAAAATTCGAACCAAACTTTTTTCAACTCGAATTTGAAATATGGAAAAATCTAATATAAACATCAAGAATTTTGAAATTTCAATCAATTTGAGCTGCATTTGAAGAGAACTCACATTAACAGCTTCATTCAAATCCGCATTCGCTGACTTTTTCGGCTTGCGATACAAGTAACAATTCGAATCGGACACATCTGCTTGTGTGTGATCGCCAAAAAATTCGATGTTGACCTTATCACCAAACACCGACATCACCTTCGCAGGCCAATATGGGTGACAATCATATTTCGCCATGACCAACAAGTGTGGCTTAGCGCAGACTTTCACGAAATAACCGTTGCGATCTTTCATCCAGTTGTCGAAGCATTCGTTACACAGTCGAATTGACTTGACATCGTGTGCGCATTCTCTCTTCAATTCTTTGGCCTCCTGCACCATACTTTGCTCATCTGTGAAGAGAAAATTGACATTTTTGTACATTGCTTTCAACTCATTCGGTTTATTTTTTGCTTTTTTGCAATAAATTTTCTTTTTCACCATTCTCAAAATTATGACTTGAAATTGTTTGTGTTCAGATTCAAAAATGAAAATGTCATGATTCGAAAAACTCTCTTTACCTTCGTAATGCTGCGAATAGACTTGAGTTAAAATCTTAATATCGCGCAGAAAATCCTCAAATGTGACATAGGTGTCAAGTTTCTCGGCGATGCCTGTCAAACCGACTGTTTTTAGTGCTGAGTCAGCATCATCTTTGTTGATGGACAAAGGAGCTCCAAATTTTCGGTACTGATGAATGGACACAAAATGGATATCGAAATTGAATGATAAAAATTGGTATTTTTTGTTGATTTTTCTTAGCAAAATCTTCACTATGGAAAACTAAAAATAAACTAACCTTCATCTCAATGCGTTTGAAAGCTTGGATCAACAATTTTAACTCTTCTTCAGTCATTTTTTCAGCGTGATCGAGTGGTGTGTCGTATGATGTATTTTGTGTATTTTCCATGATGCAAACTGTTCGAATTTTTGTCTCTTCGATACTTTTCTAATGTAGTCGGAATTTCCTTTCGTTTGATTCACTTGTTCATGGATTTGGAACAGAAATCGGATTAATTTTCGGTAATTTCCATAAGGAATTGCGCACAACAGTGTGTGTTTGTCGAAAACTTTATGCTGGCGATGCACAATGGCTAGGCAGCCAGTTTGACAATTGATACGTCAAGGCGGCTGCAGAGTGCGTTTAATGACTCAATATCATTGTTGGTGCATAGAAATGTATGCTGGCAATTGTGCAAAGGGATAATTCATAGGAAATTTGAATAAATGTTTGAATTTAATGAAAATTATTATGAAATATAAAATTTTTTAACATGCTGAGATCAAATATACATTTATTGTTATTCCTTTTTTTAATTTGCGCTTGAACTTTATCTACAATTACTTTGAGAGAAGGGATAAATTTGCATTCAAGAAAACGCTTTACTGCAGATAATTGAAAATTGAGAATAAATTCGATGAAGAGTACTCAAAGAAACAAGTCTAAGTTTACAACTCTGTCCGCATTTATGCGAATAATTTTCGAATAATCATCATAATCAGCGTGATTACGAATCAGTTATCATTTCTTTGGTCTTATCTTTAAACGAGTTGAGTTGGACTATTTGAAACAAAATCCAGGCAAACAAGTAAAGTGTTTGTTTTCTAACCAATTTTTACTCAATCTGTGGCAAAAATGTGGTCGAATATGTGATATGAATTTAAATAATTAAATTGATTACTCTTAAATGACCGCTGAACGTGGATAATGTTTTCAATCTATTTTTGTTTCTTTTTGTGCCCAATAGGCATGAAGATGTATAAAACAGCCACTCAATTGTAAACTTCTTCAACCAGCCAGCCCAGTGTTATTCCATTATTGACTAGCTTCATTTCGCATTTATATAATTTTTAGGGAAAAAACATGTCTAAAAACAGAAATAACGTCATCTATAGACGCCCTGGAAACGTTTTGATATCATAAGATTTTGAGCCTGTGATTTATTTGAAAATTTGATAACAAAATTCACTATCGTAAACCATCCAAATTGTAACATAGTCCAAATTGTAACAATTGAACAAATAGACTAATTTTCTGCAAAACTTTGAAGGGTAACTTGTTGTTTTTTATATCATATTTGAGAAGTTCACGAAAATAACTTCCGATATGAATATATGACTTATTTGTATTTTTTCAGAAAAGTGGTTTATTTTAAGACTATGTTACAATTTGGATGGTTTACAATACTAATTTAGTAACTAATACTTCAACGAATGGATAGAAATTCGTTCATTGAAGCTTAGGTTTCACTGTAAACTGAACAGTTTGACGAATGAAGCCAAGAAAAACCAGACCGCAGATCGTCGCTTCGCTTCGCTCTGCGTTCTTGAAGTTCGTAAATTCCAGATGTTTCACATCAAATTATTATCGTAAGCACTACATGGAATGTAGATTCAATCATAGTATACTTTTTGTTCAACGGACGTTTCACAAGTTTTTGTTATAAATCATTTTAATATTGTTGAAATACTTAAATAAATTTAAATGATGATATTGTATTCTTCAATTATTGTTTCAATGTACGTTCAATGTGAATGGTCATCGTACATTATTTCACATTGGCAACGAAAAAAAAACGAGTTATCTCAAAATTGAATTACATTAACATGATATTATTTCATTTTTGCAATTAGGCGTAATTGCTTCATTTGATGAATAAGTTTACGGTCCAAAAAAATGGCCTAAAGAGTCTTAAAAAATTTTCGGTGACTGATTAATCAAAGCTTCGCCGAAACTTTATCCATTACATTTGAGTCATTCTTATTTAGTAATTTTTGTTCAAAACGCGCAATAAATTACATCAATTCACTAAATTTAAAGTGTGATTAATTTGCTCGAACACAGAATGGGCTATCAGAGCAATAGATAAGATATGGCTCTTTCAGTCACTCCAAAATCAATTTTGTTGTATAAAAGAGTGAGACACGCTGGTAATAAGTAGCTGAAAAAATCGTTTTCTCTGCAATTTAGTTCAAAAGTTCAAGATGAAATTCGCTGCATTTTTAATCGTATCGTGCTTGTGCGTTTATGCTTCGTGTACTCGGGAGACAGTATGGGGAAATGCAAATACTAACACTGGTGTTCGAGACATTGGTACCGAAACCATCAACGTTCCATCCACTATCTGGACTGTCAAAACGCATAAGTTTACCTTTCCAAGAGGCGAAGTGAGTAAATGCAGCTTTTTATATTAAATTCCAATTATATTGAAACAATGGCTACGATACCAACTATAATTATACTTACATACATTTTTAATTCAATTTTCTACCACTTCAAACCCTGTACAAAGTGAAACTAAGGAAAATCTTCATTCACAGGTTCAATTGACCGTCCCGATCGCCGGTATCAAACACGTTGACTACAAATCACATACAACCTCAGTTGCAATCTTAGCCGGTGGCGTTGGCTTCCGTAATGCCACCATTGAAATTACATCACAAAGAGGACACGGAATCAACTCCGAATTTACTTTTTATGCCCGTGTTTAAAAGTGTTTCTTGAACTCAACTTGCAGTTGAATTCAACATTTATTTTGAATAATCTTGCATGATACAAAATAGCATGATTCATGTCAAACCTTTTTCATAAAAAATAGGTTAATAATAGTGATTTTTAAACTTTTGATAATCATTAAATTGTCATCAATTGTACTTTCACATGAATGAAAATAATGTATTCAAACTCGAATTTTTTAAATAATAAAAATGCTTTTTTGATTGAATTTCATAGATTTTTCTTTAATTTTTTTGATTGATATTTTTGTTTAGGTGTTCAATAACACGTGTGTCTTATCAATATTTTTCTTATCACATTTCAAATGAATCACCGAAAATGTAAACCGATTTCTGTGGAATGGAAAAAAATCAAAGTAGATAAGATAAGTACATAATATGGATCCCGTGTAAATTGGCAATCTTAAAAATATAAAAGAGGTAGATTTTAGCTAATTTCCGTCAATAACAAACGAATTGCCAGTTAATTCGGTCCATTCGGTGATTTTCAGTTAAAGATCGTTTGAATTCTCTTTCGATTAAATCAAAAAAAGTGTTCTGTTCATTTTTCTTTCAACAGTTTTAAAATGAAATTCGCAGTATTTGTAGTATTGTCATGCTTGTGCATTTTCGGTTCTGGTTTGCAAACGGATCAAATCTGGGGCAATATTAATAATAATGTCCGTGAAATTGGAAGTGAGACCATCAAGGTGCCATCAACAATATGGACAGTGAAAAAACATAAGTTTAGCTTCCCAAAGGTGAGACCTTCTTCCTAAATTTTAACATTTTGTTCCTTCATTGTTGTAGAACAGAACAATAATGACGTTTATCAACAATATCGACGTTTTTATAGAGACATGTCTCTATGGATTTAGAAATTCATTTTTTTTCTCTAAACAATGCCAATTGACAATCCGAATAAATCAACAAAATAAGATCGAATTTCATTTTCATTACCAAAATCATTCATTTTGCATAATAGTCAGTCAACACTTGATATGAAAACAATTTGAATTAATCTAAAATTGTATCCACAGATGCCGTTAAATGTTCCAATCGCTGGTATCAGACATATCGACTACAAATCGCATCCAGTCAAAGTGGAATTCTTAAAAGGCGGCGTCGGACATTTCGATGTAACTTTCCAGCTTACTTCACAGAAAGGCCATGGCATCAACTCTACCTTCATTTTCTACGCACAATAAAGAGGGTCATATCTTATCAGCTGCCACAAAGAAAAAGAATGGAGATATGGAATTGACGCTAAAACTCGAAATTTTTTACCATTACATTCTTCAAAACAGAACTTTCTTCAAAATTGGAGTTAAAAGAAGACATTGTTATTTGAAATAGAAAATGAATAATTGAAGTATGAATTTCCAAAAATAAACGTTAAAAAAGCAGATAAAAAATCTATTTTTGAATCATTTAAAATGATTCATTTTATATGCAATATTTTGGTTGTGATTGTAAGTTGGCACGGAGAAAATCAGAAAAGTGTGACTCATTCATTCCTCTTGCGAATTGAAATGAGAATCTAAATCAAGAGATTAAATAATGCCCAATAGGGCACAATGCTATCGAACCATCGAATCGTTTTCCAATCAATTTGGAAAACTCCAAAATTGTGACTATTTATCAATGCTTGCATAGCTGCCGAATCGTGATTTGGATAGAAGGACAGAAGGACAGATTCGCTATCATTAAGTCTCAATTGAATTAAAATCTTGCTGAAGAAACCAAAAAAACCGAAAAAATGGAGTCTGAAAGAGAATTCCAGTGCGAGGGAAAAATGAAAACTTGTAATAAATACAAACCAAAACAATGATAAAACAATCAAAGCAAAGAGAATCATATACAAATGAAATGAATGAAATTCCAATCGGAATTATCATAAAGAACGAATCCATTTGTAATATAGTAATCAAACGCACTCATTAGGATTTGCGCGGAAAAAATGACAACTGCTGTGTTTACAGTGGATGATTTACAGTGAATGTGTTTACAAGCTGTGTTGTAGTAATACGAGTGACATCCATTAATTTGCACGTTGTTTGTTTGCACATTTGCATTTTGATATAAACAAAGTCGACAAAAACTCTGTGTATAAATTCTGTATGTAAATTTCCTTTTGGATTCGAATGTATGGATTAATTTAGTCAATTTTGAGTTGAATTAAAGACATTTTTCTGAAGAAAAATCATGGTAAATCAATCGAAACCAGAAAGTTGTGACGACAAAACGAGCTGTGTTGGATTCTTTGCACCACGAACCCAAAGTGCTAAGGTAAGCAAATCATTCACAGTTCAACTGAGTCAGCGTATGCTTCATCTCAAGTGTAGCGACCTTTCTGTTTTAGATCGAATCTTTTCTCTCATTTTCGTACACAGCTACTGTGTGTGTGTTTATACAAATTGTGTTTGCACATGTCGGCTCCTGGTAGTGACAGTGTTGATTTGTTTGGACTTTTTGTTATTCGTTCTTTTACACACAAACAAAGTTGAATGGGATTTTTATATGGAAATTGATTGTCGTTGCATTTTTTTTTAAAGTAAATATATTATTTTACGTTGCAGAAATATTGGAATAAATTTTGTTGGTTGTGTCACAAGGAAAATCCGGTTGAAAAAAAGAAGTGCAATAAATGCTATCATGTTTATCACGTCGCTTGTTTGGAAGCTGATTCGATTTGCAATGACTGTAAATTGGCCAAGATACGAAACCGACTTCTCAGCAGGTACGTTTTGAAGCTGTTTTTGAGCAAAAACGAAGCTATTGTTGTTCAATTCGAAGATAATTTGGTTTTTAATCAACTAAAATTGAATTTAAAAATAATTTTCAATCAACAAACCTGGCAAATGCTTCAAGCTTTGAACAATTGTAATTTGTGTGCAATTGTGCATGAACTAGTTGATAATTTGGATATTCGTTTCTTGATTGAATCTAATTGTTCTACTATTGCTTCTCAATTGTTCAAAACTCGAATTTATAAATTGCCATTGAGCCCATTGTGGCATGCATCTAATAGTATTAGGACCGGTCCTATTTCAATTCACCTAAAATGTTGACATTTTAACTCATTGCAGTGACGATCAGAAAATGCTGAAGAGACTGGTCGAAAAGTTGTTCTGTGATGAAGGGGTAAGTGTGCAATGATGCAATGTTGTATTGCAATACCTGTGGTGTACTCAAACATACGTATTTGTGCAGAAAAGTGTCTATTTTTCAAGAAAAGTGTCCTATGGACCATATCCATTGTTCAAGAGAAGTGTTTTTTGTCAGCGACTGAGTCATTTCTCATTAGGAATGACAATTAAAATTGAATCATTTCAATCACTCACAAGAAAATATGCGAATGACTATCGAGCGATTGAGATGAAGATGAGTCGTTACAGTCCTTGATCACTCTTTTAAAAAGCATTCATATAATTGTTCTTCACTCAGTTTGACTAACTTATGATTTTGTTCCAGATGATGACTTTTGAGAAGCAGTGCATTTCGAAGCCATTGACCTCGATCAGAGCGAAAATTGAAAATTATACCACATTTGCTGCTTTTTTGGATGACATCAAGTGGACGGTGCATAAATGCATGGTGGTTTATAACGGTAAGATTTTTTTTTCATTGGATTCTTTTCTGTGGGACAGAGAGACAAAGAAGACAGAAAGGTCAGAGTAGGAGGGCCTTTTTACGAAATTTTTACTGTGATTTGTTTTTGGGGAAAAAAATACCTCTCGATGAATCAATCTTAACTCTCTTCGACGAGTAGTGCCCTTGATTCTAATTCAAGTTGTGATTATGGACATGATCAATTCTGATTAAAATCCTTGCGCGAGTCGAAGTTTTTCAAAAATGTTTGAATTTGGCAAAAATCAACAAAATCGAAAAAGTCCCTTCATGAATGATTTTGGGTGGATTTTCATCGCACTATGTTCTAATGGAAAGAATTCAACTTAAAAACGAAAGTGTATGAGCCTAAAATGTGTCCAATTGAATAATTTTTTTCCCCATTCAGAATGTCAATCGGTAGAAGAGAACAAGATGGCAGCGATGGCCGAACGACTCAGAATGTATTGCGTCGAGCAAGTTGAAAGCATGCAGGCATGCGCGGAATGTCATACGAACTCTTGGGAATGGCCTGATCATAACATCACAATGTCTTGCAAAATGGCTCATCCGATTCTGTGGGCATTGGACCAACAAAATCTATTGTACTGGCCGGCAAAGTGCATGTTGGTGAACGACTCAAAAGTCACCGTTCGCTTCTTCGGATATCACAAGACGGCTGCAGTCGATGTAAAGGATTGCTGGTTATATTCACACCAACCACCTTCTCAGAAGAATGGTGAAAATCAAGTGAATGCCGACGATTTTTCGACGGCTCTGAAGGTAAAGGTGGGAAAATGGAATTTTAAGTAGGAATTTGGGGGATCTCAATTAAAAAGTGTTTGCTTGACGTTCTGAAAGATACTTTGATTGGTTAAAGCCTTCTTAGGGCAATAATTAGTATCAATTTCGTCACTCGCACCTGCAGTTGCCGGCTGTGATCTGCTCATCGAAACCTATACTTCGAAATTCCATTGAAAAATCCAAATTTAAAAAAAAATTGCCAAAATTTCCGTCCAAATCTAAAATTGCAATCTATTTTTACAGGAGGCTGATGCTTACATCGAAAATCTCCGCAAAGAAATTGGTGAATATGTTTACGCTGCTATGGATACGCCATTCAATCCGTTCATCCATTTTCGTACCATTGGCAACGACGCTGTTCAATCAGAGGATTATCCGGTAGTCCCAGTTCCAGCGTTGAATCGTCCGAATTTGGTCATCAGCAGCCCATTGATTGATATGAGCTCAGCGCATCGTCCAAATAATCAACCGCGTAACTCCGAAATGCCATCTCGTGTTTTGGACATGCCAACAATTCAGTCCAATGACATCGACGATCAGCAACACTCTTCCAAAAAAACCCAAACCAAATCGATCAACTCCACTTTAGCTGGCAAAAAACGAAAAATCACCGAAACAGTTGCAACACCATCACCGGAGCAAAAAGCGCGCAAATCATTTCCAGCAACCAGCAACATTCAAGTGTTCTCAAGCCTCATGCAATTGAACTTTAGGGAATACGTTGACAAGTCAAGCCGTTTGTGCGAAGGAATCGAACGATTGGAAAATAAAGTGGCCGAACTAAAGTTTGAGAAAAAACAGCTCATCGATGAAATCGCGCAACAAAAACAGGAAGTCGATAAGGTGACGAACGAAAACAATAAACTCAAGGGCTATCTAAAACAGTTTAACATCATTTGGGAAGGCAAGTTAGCGGAGGCCAAACGACAACAATGGTGCATCACATGCGGAAAGAAACCAGAAGATCCATTCTATTGCAGCAAAGCCTGCCAAAAGGTTGATTGGTAAGAAGACTGATTTTTCTTTTGCTTTATTTTCTCATTCCACTGAACGATTGAGCTAATGATTTTTTTCAATCCTTTTAGGAAAAATGATGAACCCGAAGATTTGTAATCATCTTAATCAAAAGCCCATTTCTTCCTATTACACTGACTCGAATTCAATTTAATTTTGAACGAAAAGAATTACCTGACGTACAAATAGGAGTTTAAAAGAAAATCAACATTTGAATAGCATTTAGTCATCAAACCAAAAATTTAATCGAAAACTGTCAAGTTTACTGATCACAACGATGTATTAATCTCTATTTTTCTCGCTGACACTGTATTTTTTGAAGAAAATGTCTCCAACATTTACATTCGGTTCAATTTATGAACAAGAATATTTAACAGAAACATGAATATCAGTCTAATTTTGCTTTAAAATAGGATGAAATATGTTTTTTTTTGTATTTTACGAGCCAGCAAGAGAAGCTATTCTATTACGAGATATTCATTGAAATAATATACCACAATAGTACTAATTTCGCATAACACATGAAAATGACAATGGATTGAATTATTATTGTGTAGCAAAATGTAATGCATTCGATTATTTTGTACACTGACCCATTCGATGACATTTAAATAAAGAAGAAAAAAATAAGACAAATCTTCTTAACATTTTCAATTTGATTTTTTTTAGGAAATAAGTGGACACATTTGATAAAATAAAATGAATACATTTGGTTCCGATCAATAGAACGTTTGACAAAATACAACGATTCGAATTTCTCAACTCAGTTGTTTCGCTTATTCGCCATAACAGCAAATATCAATGGAAATTTATAGCATTTTCTGCATTCGTCAAGCCTGGTGAAAGATGTTCATTTTTCAACTGGATTCAATTCTGGTCCCTTTTTTCCTATCTTTAATGCGATGCCAGCCACTCGGAAAAAAGTCTGGTTTTTTTTAGAGTGTATACAATACACCATTAGTGGAATGTGAGCAATATTGTAAGAGAATGATGGTAATTTATGAAAATTCGTTCAAACTCAAAGTATGATATTTATTTATCCATAGTGTCAACATCTTAATCAATTCACTCAGAAGTGAAGGTTTTGAACAGCATGTAATAAGTGAAAACCGTCTTCAATAACTGAAAAAAAAAAATTGAAAATTAGTTTTTGATGATGGATTAAAAAAAAAATCAGAGGAAAAAAGCCCAAAGAAAAGAACCTACAAAAAATGGTGGAAATTGAAGCAATGCAAAAATTCGAAATAAACTGAGTAATGAATATACCTTTGAAAATGTTTCCAAATTAAGAATGGCAAGGTTGAATCCATGATAAAAGAGTGGTAGATGAGCGTTGCCGATCATTAAAATGAAAAACTTTTGCAATTTAACTGGAAGCTTTTGCCAGTTGGCTTTGTACAAGCTGTCGCCCATTTGAGCAAAGCTCTCCGTAGCAACCTTCCCAAAATAACAGTAGACAAACAGGTTTGATACGCCAACCATAACTGAGATCAACATTATAATTATGCTGAAGCCAAAGTTTCGGATTTGCTGTCGGTTTGCAGGAAAATTATTATGAAAAAGAATAAACAAATAAATATATATCGCATTCTTTAATGTTTTGAAATTCAAAGATTCATTTGCTTTTAGGCACGTTGAAAAAATGAGAAAATTCTTCAAGGAAAAAAATGTGCTCTGGTGGTGTCGTGTCAAAAGGTTGTTTTGATAAGAAATACTTACAATATCCAATTGAAAAGCGACACAAGCCAAGTAAACCGTCATGCAAGCGAGTTGAACGAAGATAAAAAGGCTGTAAACTTCAGCCGTTTGCCAGAACCAGCTTCAAAAATAGAAAAAATAAGACTTGTTTTAATTTGGAAGGAATTAAGTTGAAATTGTATATAATTCTCGACTCACTCTTTGACCGATGTATGAAAATTGATCAATTCACAAAGAAATTCCTTGTCATCACGCGTTTTGTCGTCATAATTCAGTTTACGTAACGAATATGAAAGTCGATTGGCAAACTCTCTATGATGCAAACAAATGGAAATAAAGAGCAACAACAGGGAACCATTCGTAAATAAATATGCATCACCCATAACGGCATCGAAACAAATTTCGTAAAAATATCCCATTTCAGTCGTTTTGTTCCATGGAAGTCTGGAAATGGAAGACAAATTTAAATAGAATAAATGAAGTAAGTTCTATATTGATTGGTATGTTGGAATTGAAACTTGAAATCAGATATATTTTGAATCTAATTCATTATTTTTGATACGCTTTGATTGTTGAAGTGCAGTTTCAAGTTGTGAATTTTCAGTGCAAATTTGACCAAAAATTAGTTGGAAATTGAAAAAAAAATTGTATCACTCACAGCACTTGAAAGGGGTGGTAAACATATTTCGGATCGAAAGTTCCTTTGAGCATTCGACAAATTATCACCGAAACTCCGGACATAGTAATGGTATTGATGAAGAAGCCAGCCACAACGGCTAACAAATATTTTATTGAAATTTGTTCACTGTTCACATTTGCCTGCTCGAGAAACTGGTTGGTGTCTTTGCCTGAATCTGAATTCGGAGTAGAAGAAAACGATTTGAAATATTACAAAAAAAATTATCACAAATTTTGGTCAAATGAACTAATGAACCAATTTAAAACTTTTTGATAACCGCCCGATGAAAATGAGACATCAAAAATCGACTTTACCTGCTTTGTAAATCTGCAACAAATGTTCAAAAATAGCGTTGATTTTATGGCGTGAAAGAATCCCAGTAATAGCCATATAAGTTACAGATGATAGAGCACACATTTGGAGCAAAGCATGCAGAGACATTTCTAAGTCGGTCGATATGAATTTCACGAAGAATAATGAACTGGCCAACAAACCCCACAAATTCATTGCCAGTGCAGAGACAGTGAATACGATATAGCCTAATCTCTTCCATTTGCTAACGGACTCGTCAACTGGACACACAGAAAGCAAATTCAGTACTCTCCGATTCGTTATCAATGGATTTATCTCCAACATATCAACTGAATTTTGTCCAACTGAAACCTTTTTCGAACACTTTATTTAATGCAATTTTTTCTTCTTGAATAAACTTCTCTTCATTGGAATATGAAAATTGAAATAAAAAATGTGCTGTTGGTCAATGATCAATTGAACAGAGGAACCAATTTATTTCTATTAGCTAGAACCAATTTATTTATAAGTTGAAAAAAGGAACAAAGTTTATTCCAATCAAAGTCACAACTAACAGATTTCCTCTTTAAAATCAGCTTTATATACAATTTGGAACAAAGAAAAAAATGGTTTTTTATAGAAGTAGAAGCGATAGAAAAAATATTCTTAAAAAAAAGAAACAAGTTTTTTCTTCACATTGGTTGGACATGTTCGAAAGGTATCCAATCACGCCATTATTCAACAGCTTCGAATCAACGTTTAAATTGTTAACTACATCTCATTCTTTAACACTTATCAACAAAAGAATTTGAATTTTTCATCGAGTGCCGTTAAATTATTCAAAAAATCAAGGAAATTTCAATTATTCAATAGAGAAAACGAATGAATCAAGTTTATTCAAAGAAATATCACTTTATTTTCTTTCACCTTTGGTATGTTTTTAATTATTCAGGATATGAAACACATTTCGATAACAATATTTGATTCAATCAACGCCAGCAAGAAGCACGAACGCCAAAGACATGCATGCAGAATAAATATGAACAATGGACATTGAGGTTGAATGTAGGTTCAATCATAGAAAAAAGACACGCATTTGATATGCAATAGCATGATACCATTTCAAGGGACAATTTAGTTGTTACCAACAGTGTCCTATTGGTTTTTTTTTTTCATCCAAAAACATCCTCATTCTGGGAAAACCATTTTCAATTACTATTGATTTTGATGTCATTACATTTGTATTCATGTTGTTTTATTGTTATGAAAATTTCCATAGAAAATATCGTTGAAAAAGCTCTTCAATAATTCGAATAAACACATTTGAGTGACTGAGATGAAAATAATGAGTTAGCAAAATCACATTTGTTTTCATCTACTCATTCAATTCCATATCCAATCAACTGTCCCAAATTCGAATCAACTGCGGTGGCTTTGTCTCACTCATTAGAGTTTAATGATGAAACACGCTCTAATTCGAATCATAAGTTCTTGAATAAAGGTAATAACACTTCAAAGTGGTTGTTCAGTTTTGGGATTTTCTTCGACGGCACTGAAATGTTCACAGAATCAAGCTGACTTGGTTGGTTTTTTTGCTACACCTTACAGTTGATATCGAGGAAGGAACCGAAAAGCGTTAAAGATAATTTATGTCCTATTGAAATGATTAAAATGTTTGAAACGGGCCCAGATTTAAATGAAATGTTCGTAAAATAGTGGGATTTTCACCGTTGGAACCTATTATTGTTGGCGGTCAGAATACTAGCACAACGCCACACCAGGGCTCATTGCAACAGAACGAGTTTCATTCTTTTATGATTCGTTTTAGAAACACACTCGCTAATATCTATAATCAGATCCTTTGTCTCCAAACAACTCTCAGAAATGTTGATTAAATAAATTAAACATTGTGCTTGTATCGATGGCTTGATGTATCGAATCGGAAACAACATGTGACTATCAATAAGTTACATTAAAATTCATGTTAACAACAAGTTTGAAGCGTGTGTGTTCGGCATAGATTCGATGCAATCGATGACACTATATTCCATTAATACTTGAGAATACGCTAATTTTAAATTAATAAACAAATTTAATGAACTTTCATAAATTGTTCACACTTCCCTCAGTATTGACACATTCAACCGATTCCAAATCGATCTACAGCCGCTTCGCTACACTTATTCAACTCATTCTAATTGGACTCGCACAGTTTTGCTATAAATTTAGGAACGTAACACGGTTACGTCGTAACAGAGAGTTTTCGTCTTAAGTCATTTGCATTATAATAGCTGGATTAACTTCAAAATTGCGTATAAAATGAAGGTGAAATTGTTGATTGTTCTGTGTATTCTGAAATTAACATCATGTGACTTAGAATATAGTCAAAAAGGTGTGTAGCGTATATCACATGGGTTTGCTAAAATCATGGAAAGTTTTATTCATCACATTTTGATACTCAAGTAGACGACTCACTTTTTATCGTGGGGGGATCACCCGCTTATGATGGCCAAGCTCCATACCAGTGCTCCATGCAGAAAATAAGATACGGCTCTCACTTTTGTGGGTGTGCAATTATATCTGATCGTTGGGTTGTAACAGCTGCGCATTGTCTTGGGTAGAGAAAAAAACCACCAAAAACCACTCAATAACAAAATTAAATCGGATTTTTTTCAATCATAATTTTAATACAGTAAACCTGTAAATGGAATTGAAATAAGAGTTGGATCGAACAAGAAGAATTCGGGTGGTCAGGTCCTTAGAGTGGAAAAAACAATTAGACACCCGAAGTATAGTAAACATGGTAATCCTGTAAACGATATTGGTTTGGTTAATGTTCAAGGCAACATCAAATTCAATGATAAAGTTAAACCGATCAATTATGGTGGATCAGAACCATCGCCCGGCACTGAACTGTTGGCTACGGGCTGGGGCATGACTCCCTATGCATCACCAGAAGACTTGCAGCAGCTTAAAGTAACGGCTATTTCACTTGAAGAGTGTCAAAGTACATGGTCTGGTATCGATGCAAGCGTTCTTTGTACATCAAGTCCAAATGGCCAAGGAATGTGCAAGGTAAAAAAAAATTCGCGAGTGACGATAAGTGCAAGAATGATATATTCTTACACTCATAGATTTTTAGTAAAAATTCATCTTCATTGACGGTAAAGTTGTCTCAAATAGGTTTCGTTCAACGCGTAATGCGATCATCTATTGATTAGAACTACTCTGTACCTAACAAAGTTTTTCTTTCCAAAGGGTGACTCCGGAAGTCCTCTTGTTAATGAAAATATACTCGTTGGATTAGTTTCTTTTGGAGAACCGTAAGTTGTGATCATATCGTTTTTTTTGTTTTCAACAAAGATTCACTTGTGCTAATTTTCATTGTAGCTGTGCTAAAGGGAGGCCAGACGCTTTTGCAAATGTAGCCCATTTCAGAAACTGGATCAAATCAACCGCAGTCTAAGTGTTTGAATTACCTTTACAAATGCGCTTTCGTGACGAATCAATAAAACGAATTCATTATGATCAATTTTGATTTGCTAATGTTTACTTTTCTATCGACACCAAATTGATTACAACAATTCTCCTACAGATTAAAAACCATCGTTGTTTTTTTTGTTTTTTTTTTTCATGATTTAATAAGTTCTGAAAATCTCGGAGAATCTAGTCAGTGGTCAAGAAGAAAAACAAACAATTCGGAAAATTTATTTACAGTTTAAATAAATCACACATACTCATTGCCCTTTACTGTTAATTACGAAAACTTTGATGACTGGAAATGCAAACACGTTAACAAGACAATTCAACCATTGTAAATGGGCTTTTGTGACAAGTTTTTAAAAACTTTCAACTCCAGATTGACCGTTGGCTCTGAGAATGAGAACAATGAGGGATGCGCGTGATGAATCTATGAATTAATCAGCTGTGTATGTGTGTTCAGCATGAACTTGACACAATCGATAACACTATATTCCATTAATATACTAGTAATACTTGAAAATGCGCTAATTTCCAATTAATAAAAGAATTTAATGAGCGTTCATTAATTGTTTACACTTCCCTCAGTATTGACACATTCAACCGATTCCAAATCGATCTACAGCCGCTTCGTTACACCTATTCGACACATTCTAATTGGACTCGCGCAGCTTTGCTATAAATTTAGGAACGTAACAGGAAGTTTTCAGTAGTTTTTGTCAAGTCATTTGCATAACTATAATTGGATTAACTCTGAAAATTTGTATAAAATGAAGGTGAAATTGTTGATTGTTCTATGTATTCTGAAATTATCATCATGTGACTTAGAATACAGTTTCGGAAGTATGTAGCATGGGTTTTTGAAAATCCTCGAAAATTTTATTTATCACACACTCAATATTATAGCGACATCTATTATTAAAATAGCTTGTAGTA